GACCCTCACACACACATTTATATCTGCAGACCAACATTACTGACACAAAGACCCTCACACACACATTTATATCTGCAGACCAACATTACTGACACAAAGACCCTCACACACACATTTATATCTGCAGACCAACATTAATGACACAAAGACCCTCACACACACATTTATATCTGCAGACCAACATTACTGATACAAAGACCCTCACACACACATTTATATCTGCAGACCAACATTACTGACACAAAGACCCTCACACACACATTTATATCTGCAGACCAACATTACTGACACAAAGACCCTCACACACACATTTATATCTGCAGACCAACATTACTGATACAAAGACCCTCACACACACATTTATATCTGCAGACCAACATTACTGACACAAACACCCTCACACACACATTTATATCTGCAAACCAACATTACTGACACAAAGACCCTCACACACACATTTATATCTGCAGACCAACATTAATGACACAAAGACCCTTACATTAAATACAGTGAGTTGAAAAGCAGATGTTTAGGGGGTGTGTGTAGTTTCACACAGTTTTTCCGACTCTGCAATTGTCAGGTGCCAGAACAGGACGAGTCGTATGCCGAGGACAGTTTTGTGGTTGATGGAAGCGAGGAGGAGGATGAAGTGTCTGCTGATGAGGAGTCTGTGGAGCTGATCCCTGAAGACTCCTTCATCGATGGGAGGAGGCAGTACGCCACGCGCCGCAGGGCTCGGATACGGCAGATACGTGCGGCAAACCCTGCCACAGATCAGCAGCATAAAAACAAACGCTCCCGCATCATTCGCCCACAGGATTCTAGCGATGAGGACGAGGACCAACCTCAGACCCACAGTGTGTTTAAAGTCCCGCAGAGTGTCTGCCGTCGGCCCGAGCCGGAGATCCAGAAGAGGCAGAGACTTGAAGATCAGGCAGAGCTGTCAGAAGAGCTGGACTTCCAGACCCACAAACAGGTGAGGACTTTTAATGCCATAACAGAGTTGACGGTAGCGGAGTTGCAATAGGGGAGTTCACTGTAGCCGTGTTGATGGTAGCGGAGTTGACGATAACAGTATATCAGAGTTGACGGTAGCAGAGAATACGATAGCAGAGTTGACGGTAACAGTATATCAGAGTTGAAGGTGGCAGAGTTAACGATGGCGGAGTTGACGGTAGAGAGTTGACAGTAGCAGAGTTGACTGTAGTGGAGTGGACGATAACAGTATATCAGAGTTGACGGTAGCGGAGTTGACAGTAGCAGAGTTGACTGTAGCGGAGTTGACGATAACAGTATATCAGAGTTGACTGTAGTGGAGTTGACGATAACAGTATATCGGAATTGACTGTAGCAGAGTTGACAGTAGCAGTGTTGACTATTGCAGAGTTGATGGTAACAGAGTTGACTGTAGCGGAGTTGACGATAACAGTATATCAGAGTTGACTGTAGTGGAGTTGACGATAATAGTATATCGGAATTGACTGTAGCAGAGTTGACGGTAGCGGAGTTGACTGTAGCGGAGTTGACGGTAGCGGAGTTGACTGTAGCGGAGTTGACAGTAGCAGTGTTGACTATTGCAGAGTTGATGGTAACAGAGTTGACTGTAGCGGAGTTGACGATAACAGTATATCAGAGTTGACGGTAGCAGAGTTGACGATAACAGTATATCAGAGTTGACTGTAGTGGAGTTGATGGTAACAGAGTTGACTGTAGCGGAGTTGACGATAACAGTATATCAGAGTTGACGGTAGCAGAGTTGACGATAACAGTATATCAGAGTTGACGGTAGCGGAGTTGACGATAACAGTATCTCAGAGTTGACAGTATATCAGAGTTGACTGTAGCGGAGTTGACGATAACAGTATATCAGAGTTGACTGTAGCGGAGTTGACAATAACAGTATATCAGAATTGACTGTAGCGGAGTTGATGGTAACAGAGTTGACTAGCGGAGTTGACGATAACAGTATATCGGAGTTGACAGTAGCAGAGTTGACTGTAGCGGAGTTGAGGATAACAGTATATCAGAGTGGACGGTAGTGGAGTTGACGGTAACAGAGTTGACTGTAGCGGAGTTGACTGTAGCGGAGTGGACGATAACAGTATATCAGAGTTGACTGTAGCGGAGTTGACTGTAGCGGAGTGGACGATAACAGTATATCAGAGTTGACTGTAGCGGAGTTGACGATAACAGTATATCAGAGTTGACATTAGCAGAGTTGACTGTAGCGGAGTTGACGATAACAGTATATCAGAGTTGACTGTAGCGGAGTTGACGATAACAGTATATCAGAGTTGACTGTAGCGGAGTTGACGATAACAGTATATCAGAGTTGACATTAGCAGAGTTGACTGTAGCGGAGTGGACGATAACAGTATATCAGAGTTGACTGTAGCGGAGTTGACGATAACAGTATATCAGAGTTGACTGTAGCGGAGTTGACGATAACAGTATCTCAGAGTTGACGGTAGCGGAGTTGACAGTAGCAGAGTTGACAGTAGCAGAGTTGACTGTAGCGGAGTTGACGATAACAGTATATCAGAGTTGACTGTAGCTGAGTTGATGGTAACAGAGTTGACTGTAGCAGAGTTGACGAAAACAGTATATCAGAGTTGACTGTAGCGGAGTTGACAGTAGCAGAGTTGACTGTAGCGGAGTTGACGATAACAGTATATCAGAGTTGATGGTAGCAGAGTTGACTGTAGCAGAGTTGACAGTAGTAGTGTTGACTGTAGCGGACTTGATGGTAACAGAGTTGACTGTAGCGGAGTTGACAATAACAGTATATCAGAGTTGACGGTAGCAGAGTTGACGATAACAGTATATCAGAGTTGACGGTAGCAGAGTTGAGGATAACAGTATATCAGAGTTGATGGTAGCGGAGTTGACAGTAGCAGAGTTGACGGTAGCGGAGTTGACGATAACAGTATATCAGAGTTGACTGTAGTAGAGTTGATGGTAACAGAGTTGACTGTAGCGGAGTTGAGGATAACAGTATATCAGAGTTGACTGTAGCGGAGTTGACTGTAGCGGAGTTGACGATAACAGTATATCAGAGTTGACGGTAGCGGAGTTGATGATAACAGAGTTGACGGTAGCGGAGTTGATGATAACAGTATATCAGAGTTGACTGTAGCAGAGTTGACAGTAGCAGTGTTGACTGTAGCGGAGTTGATGGTAACAGAGTTGACTGTAGCGGAGTTGACGATAACAGTATATCAGAGTGGACTGTAGCGGAGTTGATGGTAACAGAGTTGACTAGCGGAGTTGACGATAACAGTATATCAGAGTGGACTGTAGCGGAGTTGATGGTAACAGAGTTGACTAGCGGAGTTGACGATAACAGTATATCAGAGTTAACTGTAGCGGAGTTGATGATAACAGAGTTGACTAGCGGAGTTGACGATAACAGTATATCAGAATTGACTGTAGCGGAGTTGATGATAACAGAGTTGACTAGCGGAGTTGACGATAACAGTATATCAGAATTGACTGTAGCGGAGTTGATGATAACAGAGTTGACTAGCGGAGTTGACGATAACAGTATATCAGAGTTGACGGTAGCAGAGTTGAGGATAACAGTATATCAGAGTTGATGGTAGCGGAGTTGACAGTAGCAGAGTTGACTGTAGCGGAGTTGATGGTAACAGAGTTGACTTGCAGAGTTGACGACAACAGCATATCGGAGTTGACAGTAGCAGAGTTGACTGTAGCTAAGTTGAGGATAACAGTATATCAGAGTGGACGGTAGCAGAGTTGACGGTAGCTGAGTTGACTGTAGCAGAGTTGATGGTAACAGTATATCAGAGTTGACGGTAGCTGAGTTGATGGTAACAGAGTTGACAGTAGAAGAGTTGACAGTAGCGGAGTGGACGATAACAGTATATCAAAGTTGACGGTAGCGGAATTGACGGTAGCTGAGTTGATGGTAACAGAGTTGACTGTAGCAGAGTTGACAGTAGCGGAGTGGACGATAACAGTATATCAGAGTTGACTGTAGCAGAGTTGACAGTAGCAGTGTTGACTGTTGCGGAGTTGATGGTAACAGAGTTGACTGTAGCGGAGTTGACGATAACAGTATATCAGAGTTGACTGTAGCGGAGTTGATGGTAACAGAGTTGACTAGCAGAGTTGACGATAACAGCATATCGGAGTTGACGGTAGCAGAGTTGACGGTAGCTGAGTTGATGGTAACAGAGTTGACAGTAGAAGAGTTGACAGTAGCGGAGTGGACGATAACAGTATATCAGAGTTGACGGTAGCTGAGTTGATGGTAACAGAGTTGACAGTAGAAGAGTTGACAGTAGCGGAGTGGACGATAACAGTATATCAGAGTTGACGGTAGCGGAATTGACGGTAGCTGAGTTGATGGTAACAGAGTTGACTGTAGCAGAGTTGACAGTAGCAGTGTTGACTGTTGCGGAGTTGATGGTAACAGAGTTGACTGTAGCGGAGTTGACGATAACAGTATATCAGAGTTGACTGTAGCGGAGTTGATGGTAACAGAGTTGACTAGCAGAGTTGACGATAACAGCATATCGGAGTTGACGGTAGCAGAGTTGACGGTAGCAGAGTTGACGGTAGCTGAGTTGACGGTAGCTGAGTTGATGGTAACAGAGTTGACAGTAGAAGAGTTGACAGTAGCGGAGTGGACGATAACAGTATATCAGAGTTGACGGTAGCGGAGTTGATGGTAACAGAGTCTTGAAAATGCTCCTTGATATAAGAGTTGGTAGATATTTGGAGTAGAAACACGACAGCATTATTTTGCAGTGGTGTTTTTGATGACTAAAGCTGCTTCTGAAAGCTGTGGTGGTGGTGTTGTTGTTGTCTTCAGGCTCCTGACGCTGGGTTCCCCAGTGTCTGCAGACGCCTCCTCTGGCTGTGTTAGTGGGACGCTCGCTGCATCAGCGGCGGGCTCAGAGCTGCTGTCGCTCCTGCGGATCCGCCATCATTGGCAGGTCCACGTCTGCTCTCTGGGCAGCGCAGACTTTATCATCAGCAACCGCACCGCTGTGGAGTGGCAGAGCGAGTCTGAGGTGTCCAGCACTCAAAACCGCAGACGTCTGCAGGAGCGAATGCAGCGTCTGCAGGCCACGTATGAGCGCGTGTGTCTGATCATCCAGAAGGACAGAACCAGACCTGGTGAGTGAGTGAGTGAGTGAGCGAGTGCGTGCGTGCGTGCGTGCGAGTGTGTGTGTGTGAGTGTAAGTGTGTGAGTGTAAGTGTGTGAGTGTGAGTGTGTGTGAGTGTGTGTGTGTGTGTGTGTGAGTGTGAGAGTGTGAGAGTGTGTGTGTGTGTGTGTGTGTGTGTGTGTGTGTGTGTGTGTGTGTGTGTGTGTGTGTGTGTGTGTGTGTGTGTGTGTGTGTATGTGTGTGAGAACTGACAGCAACTTCTACAAGCTCTTGAACTGTGTTTCAGGAGAGACGGTGCGAGTGTTCCAGCGGAGCCGCTATTATGACTCCACACTGGCGGCTCTGGTGACGGCGGGCGTTCGGCTGCTGTTCAGTAACGGGTTCGAGGAAACCGCCACTATACTGACCGACCTCACACAGGTGGAGAAGAGGAAAGGTCAGGCCATACAGGTGCCACTGGAGGTCAAAGGGCACCGGCAGCAGGCGCTCCAGTTCTACCTGACGCTGCCGAACATGAGCTACATCTGTGCTCTGAACATGAGCCACCGCTTCAGCTCCATCAGCCACATGATCAGCAGGTACAGCATCAGCACAGGTGTTCATCACTACAGGTGTTCATCAGCATAGGTTTTCATAAATGCAAGTGTTGTCAGCACAGGTGTTCGTCAGTACAGGTGTTCATAAACGCAGGTGTTCATCAGCATAGGTTTTCATCAATGCAAGTGTAGTCAGCGTAGGTGTTCATCAGTACAGGTGTTCATCAGTGCAGGTGTTCGTCAGCGCAGGTGTTCTTTAATACAGGTGTTCGTCAGCTCAGGTGTTCTTTAATAGAGGTGTTCGTCAGCTCAGGTGTTCTTTAATAGAGGTGTTCGTCAGCTCAGGTGTTCGTCAGCTCAGGTGTTCGTCAGCTCAGGTGTTCTTTAATAGAGGTGTTCGTCAGCTCAGGTGTTCGTCAGCTCAGGTGTTCGTCAGCTCAGGTGTTCTTTAATAGAGGTGTTCGTCAGCTCAGGTGTTCGTCAGCTCAGGTGTTCGTCAGCTCAGGTGTTTGTCAGCTCAGGTGTTCTTTAATAGAGGTGTTCGTCAGCTCAGGTGTTTGTCAGCTCAGGTGTTCGTCAGCTCAGGTGTTCTTTAATACAGGTGTTTGTCAGCTCAGGTGTTCGTCAGCTCAGGTGTTCTTTAATACAGGTGTTCATCAGCTCAGGTGTTCCTCAGAGCAGGTGTTCAGGTCTGACCACTCCTCTGCTGTTTTTCAGCTCAGTGGAGGATCTGCAGGCCTCGGCGTGTGTCAGTCGCTCCAGAGCTGAGGAGATCTACCGCTGCCTGCGCTACAGCTGTGACCCGGTGCTGATAAACCAGACTAACCAGACCTGAACCACTATAGACTCTAGAAAACCATGACCAGCACTGACAGATCATGTAAACCAGATGACCCAGCACTGACTGACTCCATAACCCAGCCTGAGCAGCACAGACTGACTCCCAGCAGCACTTTATGCACGATTAAATGAGTGTGTGTGTGTGTGTGTGTGTGTGTGTGTGTGCGTGCGTGCGTGTGTGCGTGCGTGTGTGCGTGTGTGCGTGTGTGCGTGCGTGCGTGCGTGCGTGCGTGCGTGCGTGCGTGCGTGCGTGCGTGCGTGTGTGTGTGCATGCGTGCGTGTTTTCTGTTCAGGTATGTTCTGCTCCTCAGATTATGAGTGTGGCCTTTATGGTGATTCTGGCCTGAAGTATTTATGTTTAACACTAAGTGTGTGTGTGTGTGTGTGTGTGTGTGTGTGTGTGTGTGTGTGTCTAGTATACAGTGTTTGTCTAGAGTGGGTGAGTAGAGAGAGAACATATAAATGTGTTTGTAGAGTGTATTGTGTGTGTGTCTCTAGAAAGAAAGTGTGTGTGTGTGTGTGTGTATATGCGTGTGCATGCCTCTATATAGTGTGTCTAGATCAGGGGCGGCTTCTATAGGGGGCGCCTGTAGTATCTCTAAGGGGCCCCATAACAGTGTGGCCCCTTACGAGTCATCCTAACTTTTGTCCCCTATGCGGCGCCCCTGGTCCAGATAGTGTGTGAATCTGTAGATTGTGTGTGAGTGTATGTCTGTAGACTGTGTGTCTACAAAAAAGAGGGAGTGGGAGTGTGTGTGAATCTGTAGTGTGTGTTTATGTGTCTGTACAGTTGTACCAGTGTGTTTGTAGAGTGTGTTGTGATCCACTAGAGGTCGCTGTTCCCCTTTGAACCTTCATCGAGTGTGTGTGTGCGTGTGTGTGTGTGTGTGTTCATCTACAGTTCTAACACACACTCATGCATTCACTCAGTCTGAACCTGCAGGAGAAATCCCCATTTCTGACAAATACACACTTGTTAGTGATCATCAAACACTTCAGAGCTCATGAAGAGTGCAGGACGGATCAGCAGCTGCTCCTCATATCGCTTCAGTTTTATTAGAAATACTCCAGCTCTAGATATAGCACAGTCCTCAGTGTATACATATATACAACATACAGTTACAGCACAGTTCTTCTGGTTCATCTCTAATTATTATTGTTTTAATCTGATATGATTGTAGAGCAGCTCCACAGCAATACACTCATTCATTAGAACACGGTAAACGCTGTAAAATCATGGTCACATTCACAATTCAGCCGTGTTCACCTCCAGCATGAGTTTATGTGCATGTTGAAAACACATCAGATAAGACTGCAGAAACCAACACGTCTCCTTATTCAGGGTTTAGCTGATGTCTGCCCCGCTCACGTTTAAGGTGCATGGAAAGATAAACAATAACACTGATAATAACTCTACACTGTAAACATTATCCCCAAAGCAGCAGTTTCCAGTATTTTATGATTTATATTTGTATTTCCCCAGTTTATTTCTGCTTCTGAATGTCATTATGGGATCTTGATCATCTTTTAACATTGATGACTGTGTATAGTGTGTGTTCTGCACATGTGTAATAGTGTGCAGTGCTGTATAGTGTGTGTTGGTGTTGTATAATACACTACAGAAAGCTTGTAATAAACTGCAGCACATGTTCTGCTTTCTACACGCCTGTCTCTCTAGATATTATTTATTATATTATTTTAAACCCCTAAAATGTCAGTCAAAGTCACTTTGTTAAACTGTAGAGTTGAATATTCAGCATCAGAAGTGGACGGAGCAGAGATCAACATCCCATAATGCTGTTCACCACCGCTAACACACACAGAAACTGCTCATGACAGATATTCTTCACAGTGTGTGATGTAAACATGATGAGAAGTCTCCATTCCTCTGATCATGACTCGTTCTGCTCTCTGGTCTGAACATACAATGGCAGATTTCAGACACTGAGCCTACAGAATCTCGATAATCGGCAGAATACAAATGTGCAACAGCATTACAAACACAACAGTATATCTCAATCCCCCCTAAAACACTCATATTAAGACTTGAAAGTCACATATTATCAGTCTGGATGCTCTAATATGCAGGATTTTGGTGATAAATCAGGTGTAGGGTGTTCTTTTCAAGGGTCAGTTCACACAGAAATGAGTATTCTGTCAATCTCTGCTGAGCTCTTCGTTTATCTTGAAGATATTTTAGATATAATCCTGGAGCTCTCTGACTCTCCATAGACAGCAAGGGTCTGAAGATGTCTAGACAAGACAAACACATCCTCAAAACACTCCATGTGCCTTCAGTGCAGTGGTTCAGCTGAAATCAAGCATTACATTACAGCTGAACCACTGCACTGTGTTCACAGTAGTGGCGCCACCTACTGGAGAGAGCAGGAACTCTCAAATCAGTCTAATTCACAATACTTATTTACTTTCTTTCAGCTTAGTCTGTTTATTCATTAGGGGCCACCTCAGTGGAATGAACCGCCAACTATCCCAGCATAGGTTTTACACAGTGGATGCCCTTTCAGCTGCAACCCAGTACTGGAAAACACTCATTCACACACACACACTCATACACTGATCAAAAGTGTGTTTGGACTGTGGGGGAAACCGGAGCACCCGGAGGAAACCCACGGCAACATGGAGAGAACCTCCACACAGAAACACCAAGCCGAGTCTCGAACCAGCGACCTTCTTGCTGTGAGGCCACAGCTTGGGATTGACAGCACCTGAGGGAGAGTAATTAATGACAGAATCCTCATTTGTGTGTGAACTGACCCTTTAACAGCTCTGAAGCAGTTCATTCTTCTTTGTTTGAACACACGTACACGAGTTTGAGTCTTTCTGTTCAGAAGAAATAAGTTTTAGAAGCATCACAGCCTCTAGTAGATGATGACTGACTTCTTCATCTGCGTTTCTCGAACCCATCTCTCAGTGTTCCAGATTTCAGGATTCCCCCGTTCATTCTGATCAGACTTTGGTCTTGGATGAGCTCGAGTTGGAAATCAGCTGTGTTCCAGTCCACTTTTAGACACGCAATCGCAAACTTCCCTTCTTCTCTCGAGATAATCCCTGTCGTCATTCTAAAGTGCGCTTTACTTCAAGTGAACGAGGGAAGTTTACACTGGCATACCCTCAATCCCTTAGTTTTGACGTGGTGAGCGAGTCGCCTTCATATGTCCCACTCCAGCACCTGTATGTCCCATAATGCAATGTGTTTGTGGCGTCACAACAGTGTAGTTGCTAAGTGCTTGGGGCAGTAGCGGACACTTGATCAGTTCATCTTTATCTCTACAGCGCGTTAACAATGTCAGAGCAGCTGATCACAGATGAAGCCCTGGTAAACTGAAACGCCTTCAGTCTCCAGAGTTCAGTTGAGTGTAAACATCACTGCTGAAGCCCAGACACTGAAGAGCAAATCCACCGATGTGTAACGTAACCAATGACGTACATCTGAGGGAAGATAGCGAGTGTAGGACGGAGACAAATTGGACTGGAATGAGCCCTTGATAGGCACTTTGGTTCAAGTATGGATTGATGCAGCCTGCTGACCTGCAAGTGGGAGGGACTTGCACCACAAGTAGGTGGGGTTTAGTGTTGGGGCAGGTGTAGAAGACATTAATAAACACAACAGGTTACTGTGAGACTGGGTTTAGGGTTGGGGCAGGTGTAGACATTCATAAAACTCAACAGGTTGGACTCTGTCATGTACAAGACTTTAAATTAATGGAGGTTTGTACAGCCCACTTGGAGCTCAAGTCCCACCCTCCTGGAGCTGGCTCCGCCCTCTATTTATACCCTTCTTTGGGTTTAGAGGCTGCTGTGCTGGAGGTCTGGCCGGATGGACTCGCAGGCGTCCTCCACCTCCTCCTGCCGCATGTACATGAGGAAGAGCGTGACGGTGGCGAAGGTGGTGGCGTTGACCGGAAACGCCCTGAGGAGGGTGGAGGTCAGCCCTCGAGTGAACGCCCTCCACCCTTCCCTCTGCCAGCTCTGTGCAAAACAGTCCAGCATGCCGGAGTATCTGCAGTCTCCGCCCACTCCGTCAGCCTGGAGGCGGGATTTGATAACATCCACCGGGTAGGTGGAGATCCAGGAGGCGATGCCTGAGGCTCCGCCTGCCAGCAGCAGCTTGAGGACGATGAAGCGGTCGCCGGCCTCGCAGCCTAGTGAGCGCGTCAGTGTGTCATATGTCAGAAAGTAGATCCCGAATCCCGGCGTTTCGCGGATCACGGTGCTCACCATGCCTCTGTTGATCCCTCTGAAGCCCTGGCGGCGGTAGATGCGGATCAGGCAGTCCAGGGAGTTCCTGTAGAGCCGGCGGGATAAGCTCTTCTCGCCCGTGCCCTGCATCTGCATACGGGTCTTGGCCAGCTCCATCGGGCAGCAGATCACGCTCTGGATGAGTCCGGCCGCGGCGCCTGCCATAAACTGATGCAGCGGCGTGTCGGAGCCCAGCATCCGCATGGCGTTCCCCTGCACACCGAACACGATGGCGTTGATGAAGGTCAGACCCATCAGCGGGGAGCCGATGCCCTTGTAGAGGCCCAGCATCTGTGGGCAAACACAGGAGATGATGTCAGACTGAGCCTAGTTCAGCAGGAGATGAGTTTAGCTCCCACCATTATCAAACACACCGGCTCTGAGTAGGAGGGAGTGTTTTTCTGATCGAGAGAGAGGAAGAGTGTTCCTATATTTATTCACCCTTTCCCCAACATGTTAGCTTCCCTAACTGTGATCTTGAGTGTTTTGTTGGATTAGTCTAATGTGTCTGCGCAGATATATGACTGTAGAGCATGCTGTAGTGCAGGGGTCTCAAACTCGCGGCCCGCGGGCCATTTGCGGCCCTCAGTGCAATATTTTGTGGCCCGCGCCGACCGCTGTACACTGACAGAATCAGCGGAGCGGGGAGAGAGAGCGCTCCCCGCTCTGCTGATTCTATCCGTACACAGCGGTCACTGGCATTCCCCGCCCGCCGTGTAAACAAAGGGGCGGGGATGCCGGTGACGTCACCATGCACCCCGCCCCTTTGTTAGACGCTGTGACGGGCGGGAAGTGTTTAGGAGGGAACTCGCGCCAGCCAGAACCAAGGTAAGCTGTTCCCGCCCCTGCCTGCCACTTAGCTACCTATCTGCAGCCTGCCACCTACCTAGCTACAGCCTGCATCTTATATATATTATAGGTAGATACAGACTGTACAGACTGATGTGACTGTGGGGTGGGGGTGTTTTATTTATACATATATACGCCTTTTTTTTAGGTGAGGGAATGGAAGTTTTGAGTGAGTCTAGACAGGTCTAGACTTAATGATGATCATCTTCAAGCCATACTGAGGGTCTCAACTGCTTCCGCTCTAAAGCCAAATGTGGTTCAGATTTGTGAGAAGAAGCGCTGTCAAGTCTCTGGCAGCAAGAAGTAGGCAAAAGATGCCATGTTCAGAAGAACTGTTCATAATCTTCACTCAATGTTCTGTTAATGTTCAGGACACTTCATGTTCAGAAGAAATAATTAAAACTGTTAATAATGACATTTGAGGACTTTTTTTTGTGAAATCCCTTATGCGGCCCAGCCTCACCCAGACTTTGACTTCTGCGGCCCCCAGGTAAATTGAGTTTGAGACCCCTGGTGTAGAGCATATTACTGTAACAGAGAGCTCTGTACATGTTCTGGAGAACACTAAATGTTTTGGTCAAAAGCAAACCAATATGTATTCTAGTATATAATGAAAGTCACCAGGGGCCTCGTGTATCGACGCTGCATACGCAGAAAAACTTTGCGTACGCCAGGTTTCACGCTCAGAATCGCTCACGTTTGGATTTACTAACGATGAACTGAACGTGGGAATGTGCGCAGCTCCTCGGCAGCTTTCTGGCAGGCGTACGCACATTTTTTGTGCGTGTCTGTTTTATTTCCATTGGCGACTCCTAGAGGCAGTTGTGTTAAATTGCTCTCTACAAAGTGTCTGAGCCTTGCAATGGCAGCTGTATGAGACGGGTTCATCTAGCAGGTATATAAGGTTTCCATACCATACAGTTGACCAGCCAAACATTAAAGCACAATTTGCAGCAGTCGCCTGTTTTCCCAATGTAATCTGAGCGATCTACCGCACGCACATTGCTATAAAGACACTATCTGAAGATGAATTTGCATGTGTGAATCAGAAACATTTCCATTCAATAAATGTGCAAATAAAATATGATGCACAGACTTATTAATGATTCCTACTTGTCTTTCTCGTGATAAATAGTTGGCAAAATCTGATATGTAGCGGGGAAAAAAGAAGAATGAGTTCATCAGACGCTGGATTCAAACCGAGTTCATGCTCGAACATGTGAAAACATGACATGCGTCTTACGAGCTGCGCCACTGAGACTGTTACAGATGCTGCAACATTTTACAGATATAAACCACACTATTTCTCTTTTAAGTCACTCAGTGCGATGTTCAGACCCAAGTGTGTTAACCGCATCAGCTAAACTCTCCCACTCTATTTTTTTCTTTTGTTGTTAATTCCAGAGAGCAAACTTGCAAATAACACCGCTTATCTCCGGTCTACCTCCGAAAGCAGCACCACCAGTTCACATTCTGTTCAAAGTTTCTCTTCTTGCTTGCTTTTGCTTTTTCGTTGGGTTTTGACATTAGCATAGTCATTAGCATATTCATACGGGGGAGGAGGCAGGGAGGGGTTTTGTGCTCGTGCATGTTGCGCTCAGTTTCACGTTCATTCAGATGTACAAAAGAATATGCGTGAGATTCGGCGAACGCAGTGTTTCATACATCTGAATTTTTTTCTGCGTACGCACATTTACAGCTTTGTGTGTACGCAATGATTTAGTATGATTTCCACGCAACTCTTCGTACATGAGGCCCCTGAGCCTTCAGTTTCCAGTCCTGGGTCTCATGTGTCAAAAACTTTGCGTACACCAGGTTTCACGCTCATGTATGGATTTACTAACAATGAAATGAACGTGGGAACGTGTGCTGGTCCAGACCAGCTTCATATCCATTGGCGACTCCTGGAGGCAGTTGTGTTAAACTGCACACTACAACGTATCGCACCAACACATGTGGAAAACACTGCTATAATATATAACTGATTAAATGAGTTTGATACTTTTTTTTCACCAATTATGTGATTTAGACTAAATAAAAGCATTTGCAAATGTAGACACCCTTAGTGCATGGCAGGGCTCACCAAACTTGTTCCTGGTGGTCCGGTGTCCTGCAGATGTTAGCTCCAACCCTAATCAAACACACCTGAAGAAGCTGATCAAGGTCTTATTGGTATACTTGAAACACTCAGGCAGGTGTGTTGAGGCAAGTTGGAGCTAAACCCTGCTCGGACGCCGGCCCTAAAGGAAACAGAGATTGGTGACCCCTGGTCTATGGCAATGGCAGTGTTGGGCTTATTAGAGGACAATGGTTGAACCCAATGTCTCCAAGGTGGCAGGGTGCATGATGTGTGGCTTCTTGGTGAGTGATGTATTTAAAGATATTATTACAAGTATTTTATTTTATTG